GCTCAGGTAATATGGGAGATTTGGTTGCAGGTTCAAAGGTCTAGGGGCTCAAGAGAGCGTGTTGGCTGGTGGAAGTGAGGATAGTGGCTTTGTGGAGGGTGGAGATTGGGCACTGGGAACGTGGTGAGAGAGGCTTTCCAGGGAGGTCGAAGCAAGGTCATGAAGAGCCTTGAACCCAAGTCAGGAAGATTGGACATTGATGCAAGAGCAGCTGTGGGGGACACGTTTTGAGCAGCAGAACGATCAGGTCTGGGTTTCTGGAAGATTGTTCTCACCGCAGAGACTATGAGGGGAGACTGGAGGCAGGCAGATGAGTAAGGAGACCCCCACAGGAATGTCAGCCAGCAAGGATGGTGGAGGGAGAGGGGCCAGGAGAAATGCAGGATTTCAGAAGCATTTAGGGGAGAGAATTGACAGGACGTGGTGACTGACTGGTTAAGGAGGGGAGGGCACGACTACAGGTTGGACAACTGGGCAAATGGAAATACTTTCTGCTGAGACAGAAAGCACAGAATGAAGAACATCGAGGGGAAATATGAGTTGATGTGGGTGTGAGGTGCTCTAATACATGGGGCTGCAGTAGGATTGGTTTTTTCTAGATGTGTCTGGGTTTATCTGGCTCTCCACAAGGAGGCCTTCCATTGCAGTTCAGGACTCCAAAAGCCATCTTTTGTGGGTAGACCAAGCATGTCTTCATCTTGAAGTCTCATGTTCTTTTTCTGTTCCTCCCCATTTTCAGCCCCTCTGTGCAACCTCAGCATTTACTGAGAACCCAGCCTCTAGGAAGCCATAGTTCAGGCTGTGTCTTCCAAATCCATTTCTCTTCCAAGCTGAGTTGTCCCCAGGCCTACCAGCCCTACCTTTAATCTCCTGTGTGAGCTGGGATGCTGAAAGGCTCTGAAAGTATCCTTTTCATACTTTGCCTCTTATCAACCATTGCTTTGCAATTTGCTGGAATCTGTATGACCCAGAATCACACAGCATAGACGAAAAGTGGGCAAAACCCCACACCTGGAGCGACCACACACCTGCAAGGAGCTGACATGTCATCACAGAGGGTGGAAGACTGGGGCCTCGCTTTCCTCATATTCCAAATGTGTATATTAGACTTGATGACCTAATAACCACCCCCTCTTCTTGTAGTCTGTAGGAGCCTGGGCTTGTTCCAGAAGCAAGAAGTTCAGCCCCCATGATGAACCATGGTTGACTATGGCAAAGCCAAACTCATTTCATCAGTGAGTGATTTGCCCGTAGATGAGGGGATGTGACTCAGTTCAGACCAACAAAGCATGCATTGGTTTCCTAGGACTGTCACTACAGACTACCACAAACTGGGTGACTTGCCATGATGGAAATTTCTTCTCTCACAATTCTAGAGGCCAGAAGTCCGCCCTGCTCTCTTGAGGGCTGTAGGGGAGAATCTGCTCCATGCCCTTCTCTTAGCTGCTGGGGTCACTGTCAGTCCTGGGTGTCCTCAGTCTGGTACTGCATCACTCTAGTCTCTGCCTCCATCACCACATGGTGCTCTCCCTGTATCTCTCTGTCTTCACATGGCCATTTCTCTTCTGTGTCTTTCTCCTCTTCTTATTGGGGCACTAGTCATATTGGATTAGGAGCCCACCCTGCTCCAGTATGACCTCATCTTAACGCATTACATCTGCAATGACCTTATTTCCAAATCAGGTCACATTCTGAGGTTCTTCAGCATACCTTGTGGGGGCACAATTTAACCCATAAAAAGACACAAGTAATAATAATGACAATAAGACATAAGGCAGCAGCATGCAGGAGAGCCCACCACTCTGCCTCCCTCCTGTGCTTGACTCCATCACAGGAAGGTGTGATGCCGAGAGCTGTAGCCATCTCAGGCCCCCAAGGGAGAATGTCTCTCACTGGGGTTGACAGTGAAGGCTGGTGGGAAAGTGACAGTACTGAACTGCTGCCCCATCCTGAAACCTCCTATCTCTCCACTACTAATTAAGTGAGATAAACGTGCACATTTTATTAGGAGTTTAGTTACTCATAGGCAAACACCTCCTCTGTCATCTAGTGAGCCCTATTTTCCCTGATCACTTTAGGGAAATGTAAGAACTGTGTGATTTGGAAGAGACTTTGGGAGTCATCTAATCCAACCTCTCCACTGACAGAATGAGGAAACAGTCTCAGCATTGAAAGAGACTCAGGGCCACACCACGGGCTAGGGGCACAGCCAGGACCCACGCTAGGTTCTCCAGACTCCTATCCTCCACCACGTTTCTCGGGCTCCTTGTACTCATGTCGCTCTCTCTCTCTGTAGGGAAAAGAGGGTGTTGTTTGAAAGGGAGGGCCTGCTGGGTGGGCTGCTGCTGGGCTGTTGGAGGAAGGAAAGGAGTGGTGGGACGAGAGATCAGAAGGATTCCGAGGGGAGCGCGGGGGCCTGCCACGCTGCAGAGCTGTGTTCAGCCCCAGGGACACGCATTTATTTTAACCACATGCTCTGTGCAGGGCTTGCTGCTCTGAATTATGTACCTCGAAAGGGCCTTTCATCTCACCGAGGGTTCAATGTTGGCCTGCTTGGCCAATTGTGCTGGGCAGTGATTTAGCCTCCAGAGCAATTCAGGGCAAGGAGGTGGGGAAGGCAAGTGGAAACACCTGGGACTTTTCATTTGCCAAGGATTCTGCCTGCCCACTTCTTTCCTTCCACCAAGGCTGTGTGTGGGATGGGGCAGCACGGTTGGTGGGGGGGGGGAGGCTGTGATCCACCCCTAACCTGGTTGGGCTGAGAGCCTGGAAGGGACCCACATGAGTGTGTACATGGCAGTTTTCCAAGAGTGCAGAGAAGTCTAACTTTGTCAATTGGGCTGAATCAAGATCTATCCAATTCAAAGAGCCTAGAACTCCAGAGTGAGGGATGGAAGGTGCCTGAGGTATTTCCAAATCGAGGCTGCTCATTTTATGGGGATGGATACCAAGGCCCCAGGAGGGTTTAAAGAGGCTTGCCCTAGAGGCAGAGCCACTCAGAACCCTAACCGTCAGCCTCTCCACCTGCCTATTTTCTTCTGAAGCAGAGCTAGCTCTTGAGTTCAGTCAAAAATACATCGGAGCCTGGGGTCAACAGCTTCTGATGTGAGCCCTCTGATCCTTCCCTTTAGTGTGGGCTGGATCTAGTAATTGCTTCTAACCAATAGAATATGGCAAAAGTGATCAATATGGCTTCCAATGTTAAGTTACAAAAGGCTGTGACTTCCATCTTGCTAGCTCTCTCTCTCTCTTCCTGGCTCCTCTTCTCATTAACTTGCTCTGATGAAGTGACTTGGAGAGGACCACGTGGCAAGAAGCTGAGGGCCACCACCTGTGAATGGCCAGTAAGGGACTGAGGCCCTCAGCCCAACAGCCATGGAAGAATTAATCTTGCCAATAACCTCAGAGTGAATTTGGAAGCAGATCCTTCCCCAGTGGAGGCTTCAGATGAGGCCACAGCCCTGGCCAACATCCAGGTTACAGACTTGTGAGAGATCATGAACAGAAGACCTAGTTAAGTGATACCTGGGTTCCTAAGCCACAGAAACTGTGGGGAAATAAATGTGCATTGTCTGAAGCTGTTAAGTTTTGTCATATAGCAATAGACAACCAAGACAATCCCCTCTTCTAGAATAATATTTAGAAATGTGTGCCTAACACATTTTGGGCAGTGTCAGGAATGAAAAGAAATGGTTATTGTGTATTTACAGAAACTAACAGTTTGATGAGCTAAGATATAGTGTGTGAAATAACAGTTACATTTTATTGAGAGTTTCCCTGCGCCAGGGATTGTGTTACTCTTCACATATATTAATTTCTTTAATTTTCTTAATCCTCACGGAAACCCTGTGAGGCTTATTATTAGCCCCACTTTACAGATGAGAAAACAGAGGAGCAGAGAGTTGAATATCTCGCCCAGGTTCACACAGCTAGTAAGTGACGGAACTGGAAATTGAACCCAGGCACTCTGGCCTCAGAGGGGAACAACGCAGCATTCATTCATTTAGAAAATACCAGACGGGGAGGATATAGCTCAGTGGTAGAGTGCATGCTTAGCATGCATGTGGTCCTGGGTTCAATCCCCAGTACTTCCATTAAAAATGTAATAAAATAAAATAAAATAAAAACAAAACTAGAAGGCAGCTGAATGACTCCTTGTGCTTGCTATAATTAGCTGCTGGGCATATAAAGATACCCCTCTGTTGTGAAGGAGCTCGTGGCTCTGCCTCTCACTAATAATGATCTTGAGCAAGTTGTTTAATCTTGGAGTCCTCATCTAGAGAGGAGGAACAACAACCCACACAAGGCTGAAATAAGATGAAGTGAGTGAGGACACTACATAATTAAGTGTTATGTTTGTTAAATATAAGTAAGCAAATAAATCGCTAGGTCAGCAAAGACCCCAGCATGTGGGAATTGCAGGGACCCTCTGTTTGGGGTGCAGTGGGAGCACAGACGGGGAGATGGCCTTCACCTCCCATCTTTTGTACATGTCCTTTTAAGTCCTGGGCTTGTTGGTGGACTTCCCATGCAGCCTGTGGCCTTTTCAATTTTTATCCCCTCATTAAAATAATCAGCAGTCTAAGGGAGGCCTTCTCCTGCCAAGATGCCCAACTCTTGACTGGTGCTCACTTTTCAGTCTAAGCTTCTCAGGATGAGGGGCTTTTGAAAATAATCTTTCCAAGTCCCAGGGTTCCTTTGTACCTTCGGCCCCCTTCCCCGGCAATGCACAAAGGCTCGAAAGTCATGGGGCCCACTCCCCAGGCTCCCGTCCCTCCCACTTTCTAAAATAAACTCTCCTCTGTTGGCCCAAACAGCAATCCGTCTCAATACTTTGCCCAAAGTCCAGGAGATGAAATCATCTGCAGCAGAGGATAGGTAAAGACTGAAAATGCTTAATGAACTATAAGTGCCAAAAAGCATCAGACAGATAATGAGAACTATTATTGGCCAGGCCAAGGGGACTGGTGCAGAGAGCAGTGGCCAAGGAGTGCTTCAAGGAGGAGGTGGGATTCCAGCCAGGCCTTAAAGAGCAGCAGGGGAATGGGGGTGGGGGAAGGAAGCTAGGCCATGCAAAGAGCAACAAGCACTTCCAGGGTGCTGTGAGGTGTGGTCAATGTCACTGGTGTTTACCCACATTGGGTTTTCCTCTCTTTAAAGCACAGGGGCACAGGAGAGGATTACACCCCCCACCTCCACATCTGCTATGATATGGGGGGTCACAAGACTAGATTGTGGATTGCAAGTGAAAGTGATGTGTGTCCCTTACATGCTAAAGCATCAACGGACCGTGTGTCTTCAGCACTTCCTCCTTCTGCTGTGGCAACCGTGGAAGCCCGTGGTGAGATGGAAGAGCCACCAGGTTGAAGGAGCCGAGGACACTGAGCTATCATTTGAAGGACAGCTGCCCTATAGGATTACCTGGACCCACAGTGGACTTTGGGTGAATGATAAATATGTCTTTTTCATATGAAGCCACTAAAATTTTGGTGGTGTTTGTTCTTGCAATGACCTAGCATTCCCTGATGTACACAATAGGGTGTGTGTTGAGTAGAGGGACATAGGTTTAGTTAAGGGGAACCAGAGCCAAGTTAGGGTATTCCTAGGGCATCAGAATCACCTGGGGAGACTTTAAACCATGACAAAAATTCTAATTCAGCTGGGCACAACACGAGTATATTTTTTTAAGTTGTCCAGGTGATCCCATGGTATCACCCAGGCGGAGAACCATGGATGTGCCCATTTTTGCCCCTTATTGTGACGTAATCTTAAGTAAGTGGCTTTCCACCCTGAGCCCTGTGCTTTGGGTTGTAAAAGGAGAAGAGGATTATTGGACGGATAGGGCCCAATGCTGACATTTCACAGAATCCATGTGAAAGGGCTTTGTATAGCGTCAAGGGCTAGTAATTTTATTCTTAATATTAAAGTCCTGAAAAGGCAGGAATTCAGTCTCGACCCGGTGGGTTGTTCACTTTGAGAATGTCTGCAGCTGACAGTTTTAGTCTAGAGTTGGCTTCTCTGGCCGTGCCCTGTTTCCCCTCAGCCCGGTATGCGCTGGGGTGCGATGGGCAGTAGGATTCTAAGTGTCTCTAAGCCGGACTGTGGCAACCTGTTGTCCTCCAGATAGCAGTGTCTGACAGCATCCTCCTTCCGTTACAGAAATACTAATTTTTTTTAATCAAAATTTCACATGTATGTCAAATAAGTTACAAAGTAAAGGAACGGTGCCCAGCGGCAACCTTCCTATCCCTCGCCTCAGGGGGATCCTTTCAACTCTTTAACTATTTCCTCTGGTATTTACTTCCTTATTATTGGTTCTTTCTTGACTTTTTTTTTCCTTGGAGACATTATCCTTGATTTCCTGCTATGGAGTTTGAGTACTTAGCATTCTGATGGTACTCCTCCCATCACTCCCCGCAACAGCATAATCACACCCCATCAGTCTCTCAATAGAATTGTATCACAATTTTTGGCTAAAAATAAGTATGCAATGTTTATATTAACATTTATAATTATATAAATACTGCTTAGCAAAGAGCCATGTATGACAACAGTTTCTTTCTTAAACCATTTTTAATTTTCCTGGAGCTAATAATTGTCTCTGTTTTCTTTATTCTGTTCCTTACATTTTTGACTCTGGGGAGGGATCAGAGCTAAGTGAATGTGTTCTGTCAGCCACGTTCAGCTGGAAACCACAGCAGAGTTTCTACTCTGTGAAAGTGTGAAATTTATAGATGAGCCCTTAGATCCTCTCCCTCCCCCCAAACTTTAGGAAGTGCAGTCTGGATGTTTGTCATGCCTTTTCACCCTTGTCTTCTAGTTTCTAACTAAGATTACTAGAAATCTCTCAGCTGCACACAGAAAAATGTGTTTTCACAATCTGAGGGAGCAGGGTCTGTGCTGTTTTGTTTTGGGGTTTTTTCCTTTATCTGGGAGCTCCCTGAGGGCAAAGGTTTTGTCTTCTCATCAGACTGAGCTCCCTGAGGAAGAACTATGTCTCTTTGTGAGACTGGGGCTCCCTGAGGCAGGGCTGTGTCTCCCTGCTTCTCTGCATCTCTTCCCCTCCAGCCCCACCTTGGTGTCTGAGAAGGAGCTCTACATTTGGGAGTTGGAGACTGTGTGACATTGTGAATCCCCAGGAGCTGCTTCCCTCCCTGGTCCTTCTACTGATGACCCTGACCTTCAGGAAGCCAGAAAAAAAAAAGAAAACTTCCACAGGGACTCCCTGAGGGGCTCTGTCAGGTCAGAGGCCCCACTGAGGCTCTATTCTGCTCTGAGCCTTTCAGAGACCTCAGCTCTCAGGCCCTGCTTGCTTCCATGGATAGCCTTCCTTTCCCTCTCTTTTCTTTCACACATAGCTTTTCTTTCTTATTGACGTTGTCGGTGGAGAGACACTGTGGATGGCAAAAATAATAGATTATTAATTTGGAGCCTCTCCAGTGAGTGAGACTTGCCACCCAGTGAGGACGCATGTTATGTAACCAGCAAATTACAGTGGCATCAGAGGCAGAGTGTCTGCTACAGAGCGTAAGATCAAGGAGTGAGAGAAGCAGGGAGCAAGGACACGTCACAGGAGAGTCTGCGGGGAGCCGGGCTCTGGGCTGGTTGTTTTCGGCTGTCTTCTCTTGTTTAAGTCTCACAGTGACCAGTAAGGAGGTGCTGAAACCTCTCTGTGGAGAGAGAATGGGCTGGTTGAAGCCAAGCTGACTGGTGCTGAGGCCTGGCGAGTTCCAGGCGACCGGCCTGTACCCAGCTCATCACTCTGAAATTTCCTCTTCATGGTGAGCTGGTCGGGACGGTGCTTCAGAAAGCCTGGTGGAAAAGGTATCCCTGAGGAGACAGGAAAGCCGGAAAACCAGACCTAGGAGCTGTCACCTCTGTAGGAGGAAGCCCCTGGCCATTCCCTTGTGTGAAACTGGGATTCTCCACTGAGGCCCTTAGAGGATGAGTTATGGCCAGAAGCGGTGTGGCCATGTGATCCCCATTGAAACCCTGGTGGTACCTTGTGGCAGGGAATTCCTGGACTCCTTACTTGACGGGGCACCAGAGGCAAGCTGGGTGTTGATTGTAAAGGCTTCTGAGATTAGTGTCTCAGAGACAGGAGTCTGGCTTATGGCCACCATGAAAATGCACCTCTCAGAACTCCTTCTGCAGAGAGCATGTTGACTGAAAGCCCCAGCCACCATGCTCTGAATCCACTACCGTGTTGGCACTAAGGCCACACTTCCTACCAGTGACTGGGTGTGGCTGGGACACGAAGCAGAGGCATTCCTGTGAGAAGGGGAAGGGGAGACATTAGCTCAGACCCTCCCATCCCTCACTGGCCTTATCCCATTGGCTTAACTTTCTTCACCTTGCACTGCCATCCAAGAGTTTTCCACCCAAATTTCCTTCCTTCCCACTCTCCTCCACAGGTTCAGACCCACACTGCAACTTGACATTTCTTCCAGCCTCCTCCAGCTTTCTCTCCATTTTCCCTCACAGGCAAATTTCTCTTGTAATCTTGGCATCTGCTTCTCAGAAGAGCTAGACTAATGCAGGCCCTTATTCCTCAACCCTTGGACCAGGCAGAAATGCTCTTCTTCTAGGCATCGTCTAAGATGGAAGTGATTGTGTTTGTAATCCATCATGGACCATAACTTGACTGAACTTTGCCCCTGTCCTGGGAAGTGCAAAGGCCCTGAGGCTGGAGTGTATCTGGCTTGTGTAATTAATGTAAACAATTGTAAGAATGAGTTCAGAGAGATGAGGGGACCAGATCAGGTAGGGCCTTGGGGTCATCTGGGGACATCTTTCCCAGCCTGAATGAGAGGCCAAGACTCGGCCCTTCCATGGCTTCCTCTTGTCTCTCCTCCTCTTGTCCACCAGAAACAGGACCTGATCCTCATTGGTCAGTTTCTCCAAGGCTGCAGCATCAGAAGTGGCTTGTTTCCTCCTAAGATCCCTTTCAGTGCTTCTTAATCAGCAATGCCCAATTGTTCTATCAGAGGAGAGATAGAAATCTGGTGGCTATCATGATTCAAGTCTAAGAGTCCAAATCCAGAATTCATGGCTCTGCTCATCACTGATTAGCCCTGGTACCTTGAGCATGTTGGTTAACCTCTTGAAGCCTCAATTTCCTCATCCTCACAAAAGTGATGCTAATAACAGTCATAATAGCAGCTAACACTCACCAAATGTCTGCTAGGTACCAGGCACTATTGTAAATGGTTTACATTTATTACCAGATCCATGTCTACGGGGTGGCTCCTGCTATTTCCCCCATTTTATAAATGAGGTGACGTAGTTAAGATACAGAAAAGTTAAGAAACCAGCTCCAGATCACAGGATGGTAAGGAGTGAAGGTGGGATGCAGAACCAGGTAGTCTTGCTTTCTACATCCTGTATCATCCTGCCTTTGAACGCTCATCTCTGAGCTGCTGGGAGAACCACCTGAGAGAATCTAGGGTCCTTTAAGGAAATTTCCCCAGTCGCAACACACGCCTGAGTTCTGAATCCTGTTCTGTGACACATGGAGCACTTTGTCCTTTTATTTGTCATCAGTAGGAGCATACTTATTGGGGACCTTATATGTGCCAGGCAGTGTGGCAGGTGCTGGGATAGAGTAGCAAGCAGGCCAGAATTGTCCTTGACTCCCCCAAAACTTACAGTCCAGAGGGTAAGATAGACATTAAACAGATAATGATGTAGATGATTAATTATAGTCGGGGGTCTGTGCTATAAAAGGAAGCAGGGGTGCAGAGAGAAAGTGTAACAGGGTGACCTGGCCTGTGTGGGAGAGACTGACCACAGCAGACAGCCTCAGTGGGCGGAACCCAGCCGTTCCCTCAGAGAGCCCAGTCGGAGTGGGAGACACAGCCTTGCCCTCAGGGAGCCCCAGTCTGAGGAAAAGAGGAAACCCAAGTACTGGCTTGTGTAACAAAAGCGGAGATGCTCAGGGGCCTAATCTGAGTGCAGCTGAGGTCAGGAGCACGACACGGGAAAGCAGAGCCTGTGCCCAAGGCTGAAGAAGCCTTGTTTGATATGGTCAGGCTGGCATTTACGGATACTGGGCAGCACGGCCGAGCATACCCCAGGGAAGACCTATTTTCAGTGAACTTGTGGTAAGGAGAAC